ACATATAATGGAAAATCTTAAAATTTGTATACATTCAATTTGAACTTTAAGTTGATAAGACCGCAAGAACTTCTTGGGGCACGTAAAAAAAATTTGTTGTGCATGATTTGTTTGAAACCAGTTTCTGAGGAAACAAACAAATCATGCACAACTAATTGAGACGATTGACATTATGAAAATTAAAGTGGGTTTATAGTGGTATAATACTACATAAAATATTACAAACAACTATCGCAGTACTGTCGACATTCCTCTCACTGAGTTCTCTTCTTCACCTCTTCAAGGATTATCATTTACTACTGACCTTTTATGGAAACTATATATACAATCGATTGCTAAATGAGCATCTGCTAAGGTTGCTTCTCTTTATCGTGCTCACCATTTCCTTTCTCCTGATTACATTATCTATCTCTAAAAACCTCTTATTCGTCCCTGTATGGAATACTGTTGTCATATTTAGCTGGTTTTTCTAGTGATGCTCTATTTCTTCCAGACAAGGTCCAAAAATGCATTGTAAACGTAGTTGAACCTGCTCTATCTGCTAGGCTTGAGCGTTTTTTCCATCATCGTATAATTGCATCTCTTTCTCTTTTTTATTAGAAACTATTATGGTCAATTATTGCTCAAAGGAGCTTTTATCTCAAGCTCCATCAACTAAAACTCATTCTCATTTACTGTCCCTGGCATTAAATTTCAAATGGAGAATGATCATTTTCAAGTTAGCCTTAAAAAATTTGTTTTATTCTGCTATTTAAAGTAAAATAGCAAAAAGTCAAGAAATTTATTCAAAAACTTTGTTAAAAAAATTTATTCAAAAACTTTGTTAGTAAGAATAAATACTAGATATAATGATTAAAAAAAAAAGGAAAAAAAAAAAATTAAACATAAAAGTTAAACAAATGAACAATACGGTTTTGTTGCAATTTAAAACAAAACGCTTTTATTTTTTTGGCAAGTGCTTTTTTATGTGTATACCAAGGTTTTTGCGGGTGTGTGGGTGAGCGCAAAAAGACTAGAGGGCGAAAGCACTGCCTAAAAGGAAAAGACTGCATACAACCTTCAACTTTTGAGGTCTTCTATCGACCGTTTTGTTGCTCTATAATTCTATTCTTTTTTTCCAGTAACTTCCATCTTAATAGTGGTTGCTTGCAGCATTGTTGGAAGTGAATCAGAATTTTTAAATTAAATTATTCATTAATATTTACATAATTATTATTTACAGTAGTATTTTGTTTTATAGTAAATAGATTTGTAATATCTTATATAGTTTAAAATATATTATTGCTTTTTTTTTACTTAAATATTTTCTTTCTTTTTTTTGAAAATTTACTTAGCACTAACTAAATTGATAAATTTCCAGAGATAAAGTTAAGTCTTTAACTTAAACTTTTAAAACCATTTTTAAACTTAAAATAAAAAGCTATACACAAACAAATTTAAAAAAATTAAATATAGTCCTGATGATGATACCAAAAAAGAAGAGTTATAGTTGATGATATTCCAGTTAAGGGAGGGATATCAAAAGATGAGCAAATAGTTCTGGAAAGTTGTAAACTGTAAGTACAGTATTTTTTGCGAGCTTTTGCAAGCCTATTTGCAATAGAGTTTTTTGACAAATGTAACAAACAATATAAAGCTAAATTACTACATAATATACAAATAAAGAAATAAACTTCTGATAGATTGCTTATTTTTTTGAACATTTGAAAATATTAAATTGGTATTATATATAAATGGTATTATGATATATACTAGTGTATTTAAATAATAAAAATTAAATTTTTTAAATAAAACAAATATAGTTTCTGTGATAATCAGTAAATAACATAATGATTGTAAATTGTTTACAAAAATGAAAAAAAATTTTAATAAAAATTACATATTAACTATATTTATATTTGAAGACACAAAATTTTGCAAATTTTTATTTAAAAATAACAAATCTCAACAGAAAAAAAAATTCAGGATGTTTAGTTAAATTAAAACAGTAGTTAGGAAGTTACAACATCACAAATTCATTATCATACAGTAGATTTATAAACTATAATATATATAACTATTTTAGAGCTATTATAATTTTTTATTAATAATATATATATATATATTTTTATTAATAATAAATTAAAATTGGTGTTTAATATAAATTAAAATTGGCATTTATACATAAATTAGTTCTTATAATGATCATATACAAAAATATATACTTAAAAAAAAAATCAACTATTTATATAAAAATAAGTTAAAATCAAAAAAAAAGTTTAACATTTATAGGGCCTGTTTTTATGACAAATATGTTGGGTGCTTTAAACGCATGACAAGGACCTAAAAATTTATTCTATAACCTTTTTTATTTTCTCAAATGTTATATATTGAATCAAATATTAATTACAGAAAAGGAAAAATTAAGAAATGAGTTGACAGAATCTTCAGAAACTGGCAATTTTCAAAATTTTCAGAATGCTGAAAATTTTGTTCTATGTACACTATATATCATCATTTGCCAATAAGCTTTTATATCTTGGAAAGGTGCAGTGTAAGTTAAAGAAGTATTTAAAAAACAAAGATTGATAAGACACTTCACATATTTGATCCATAAATGGGTTAGCAGGGACCCTAGAAATGATCAAAAAAAATTTTTCTTTGGCTTAATTTTATATAAATGGTCAATTTATAAATCAAGGCGCAAGTTCAATTCAAAAATTCATAAAATATGAAACACCCTAAAATATATATTGCCATACTGAAAAAGCGGTCTGTGGAGGCTTCAGTACATACATTGACTGAGAATTGGTACAGGGCAGGTACTATCTGTCATTTATCAAAATAAACTTTTTTTGTTATTCTAATCATTCTTTGTTTTACTTTGTCTGGAAAACTGCTAGTCCCTATACAAAACCTTAAAACAAAACCCTAGCAACAAAACCCTAGCAACTACTAAACTATTAAACTTTATGTCTCTATTTTACTTGCAACTATTTTCTACTTGATTTCATTCTCTAAGATTTTCTTTGATTCTCTAAGATTTTCAATCTTTTAACCATTCTTGTATAAAATACTTTTGACATATTTGAGCTGGGGTCTTTTAACCATGCCAATCATTTTAACCAATCATTTTAACCAATTCCTTTTTAGGGCAAGGTACAAATAAAAAATTGTAAACTTAGTTATACCTGGTTCAGCAAAACATGACTTTTTGCCACATTTTAAAAATGTACAGCTTTATTTTTTATAATAAATTATACTTTAAATTTTTTTACTTCGAATCCGCTTATTTTGGATCTTTTTACTGTAAATTTATCTTCATACTAAGAAACTTTATTATTCAACTAGCATTTTTTCTGCAATCATCAGTGGTTTGGAATCTCTTTTGTTTTTAATATTTTCTTTTTTTTTTCACACACCTTCTCCAAGCTTTTTTCAGATGCAACCAGCGTCTCATTCTGGAGATTTCGTTGATAGTTCTTTTTTATTTATAACATGGGAAGCAAATCGATTGTTCTCATTTACAATAAACTCACAAATTTCATTTGTAAAACAAACTGTAAACTAATAAAGATCATTTTTGACTATATTCTGGCTCAAAAACTTTCTACTCAAAAACACCAGTTAATGCAAAAAGTCAAACTCCATTAACTGGAGGTTCAGATGTCCATTTGGGTATGTATGATTCAGAAAGTTCCTTATCTAAGTTATTGTCACTAGAACTTGGAGCATCAACCAATTTCTTCTTCTAATTCTAACAATTCCTATTCTGAATTTTCTCCATCAGAAACATCATCACTTTCATCGAAAATTTTATTATTTTCATCGTTTTAAATCTAAACCTAAATCTCTTTGTGAGTAAATATTATTTTTTCATAATGATTTTTGCAATGAAGGTACTTCCTTATTTGCCATATTTAAAATTAAAGTGAACACATGTAAAAGTGAATTATTGAAACTAAAGCTATGTAATTATGTAGTAATAAATTTTGTGAAGATTAGACCTATAATTACTGATGAACAAGAAGGAAATTTGTAGAAATACATAAAAATTAACTTAACAAAAAATTTATATTTAAAAATATTCTTCCTAAAAAAAAAGAAAATAACTTAACACAATTATTAGCAAAATGCACTTTTAATTTCAGAAATTTTCTGCAACTCCTAATGCAACTATTAAAAACATAGTTTGAATATTGATGTGTAGTTATGACAACATAGTTTGAATATTGATGTGTAGTTATGACAACGTTGTTTAAATATTGATGCGTAGTTTTGCAAGAATTTGAACATTTAAATATAAAAATATATTCAATGTATATATAAAGTATATATGGAATGAAAAAGTATACATAAAATACATAAAGTTACACATTTTAACCAAACTGTAGACTTTAAAATAATTTCTTTATAAAATACTTTACCAAAGATTGTCTTTCATTCTTGTTTCTTTCTTGAAGTGATTTTTGTTTGCATAGCGACCTATTTTATACTTCAGGTTTGTTTCAGACATAGTATTTTTGCTTAGATAAAGAGATAATTGTCGTACTATGGATCTTACAAATCGTTGAACAGTAAGCCATGGTACTAATGCATTAAAAGCTTTTTCAGAAAAATTATCAGTTGGATTCATAGACTGTAATGACAATAGCAATGGTACATTTTTACTAATAGGACTTGAAGAAAATTCTTCAATTAATGTCTTTACTAAAACCTCAAGCAATATACTATAAGGAATTATCAAAAGATTAGAAGTAAATGTATCCAGTTTATTAGAGGACACTATATCTTGATGATCGTAGTTCCAATTCCACAGTATTGTTGAAACAATAGATGGCCAGTTTTTAGATAATAAAAAATGTGATGCTTCAAATGTAGTGTTCCATAATAAACGGGCTTTGTTTAAGTGGCATGTGCATAAACCATCTGTTTTTTTGGGTTGCGAAAAATTAGAATTAGTTTCAGAACCAGAAGATGAAAAAAAAGGGTTACTGGCAGCAGATTTTCTAGAAGATTGTGGTGTAAGACCTGTAGTAGCTGCAAGTTCTATAGGACCATATTTTAAATTTTCTAACAGTTTTATACCTGGAGTAGATGGGCTACATAGAAACGTATCGTTACTAGATGAACTGCTATCAACATTAATTTTTAAAGATGAAGTTCGAGATTGCAGACCTCGTCTTGCTAAGATAGGATTAAATATTTGTTGCTCATCCTCTGAATCCTTTTTACACAAATTTTCTTCGGTCTTTTTTATTGTATTTGAATCAGAAAACGTTTGTGGAGTAATTGTAAGTTTACCAACATGCCGCATGTATTTACAGCTTTGAGAGTTGCAAGGCCTCCAATTAAGAAAAAGTTTATGTAGATGAGAAGGAGAATAGCGCGGGTATGTTTTTATAAAATAACTAAACGCAGACTCTCCCTCTTTGTTTGACTTTAAAGCAATCTTAAAAAAAAAAAAAAGGAAAAAATATAAAAATATCATAAGAGATTAAGTATAAAATGTAAAAAAAAAATACCATAGGATCAGCATCAATGAGTGATGTGAGAAGTAAATGAACCATTATATCATCAAAACACTAAATAAAAAATGATAACAAATGTTAAAATTTGTGCACTATATTTATCGCAGTGTAAATAATTATGAAAAATTAATAAATATCCAATAAGTATAATTGATAATCCAAAAATATCTGATTATATATAAAACATTTTCTGTTACAAAACAACAACTTTAAACTCAATAAAAAATGAACAGAACACAAAATTAATCTGGCTTTAGAGCAAAAATAAATTTGAATAGAGTGCAAGATTGTTAAACTAAAATAGTTCTGTCAGAAAATTAACAATGCACCCCCAGTTTTTTTTCTCAATAAAATACATTTTTACAGTAACAATATACTTTTAAATTTCTTTTAAAACTTTGAGCGCAACAAATATTTCAGCAAAGTTAGGCTATGTGGTTGCGCTTTATTATACTCTGACTATAATTAATAAAGATAACTTTTTGACAAGTTTTTTTAAGAGGTGTTTGCATTGACACTTTTTATTTAAGGTCAGATTAAACAACTGAAAAAAACTTAAACGACATTGCATTCAAAAAATTTTTGAATTTAAAATTGAGAGAATTTGATATCGTAAGATAATGCCTCAATTAAAATACTTGTGTGTGATTCAAACTACTGTCTAGTAGCATGAAGTTTGAATCACACATAGATACACATAGGATACACACACATAGATACACATAGGATACACACACAGAGAATAAGTATTTTAATTGAAGCATATTGAGTACTTTATTACCTTAAATAGAAAGCCTAATTGAATACAACAATTGCTTTATTTAATTAGGTCAGGTTCAGATTAGCATCATGATCCAGTACAACCTTACTTATGTCCAATAACCGACAACTTATGTTCTTCTGCTGCATAGGATTCTCTCATTTTATGCTTTGAAGCTCTTTTTTATGTGAAAGCAGAAGCTTCTAAATAAAAATACTTATAATGTGCATACAGCTAATGTCATACTTATAACTGCATACAGCTAATGTCTTGCAGAAAGTCTTAAAGGCAAAGATTTAAGTGGTAAGCCAAAAATCAGTAGATGTAAACATAATTCATTGTTTCCAGGATAAAGAACGCTAGAACTCAACTTATGGCTTTTTTTTTGTGTCTCCATAATAATGGCTGTTGTTTCTTAAAGAGGGTACAGCTCTATTAATTAATTTAATGGTTTTGAGGTCAGCTGGTAGGAATGTTTTTAAAAATCTATGACAGTTCTCATATAAACAGATTTGATTAACAGCTGTAAAATATCAGAGTAATTGTAAAAATCTTTAGAACACTAAACCTTGTATTTAATGATAGAAGTTCTGAAAACATTTTAGAAAATTCTAAACAGTTTTAATAACACAGGTCAAAAGTACATGGTCCTGATTACATTACCTCTCTCAAGGATAAGGCAGAAATATAGCATAACTATTTGCAAAGAACTTTTTTGTTAATTTATCTCATAAATTTAATGACCATACCCATCCTTTTATCTCAGTGTAATAGGTTAATCCACTGCTAGATATCCAAAGTATTCCAGTAGCTAAAGTTATTTCTCAAGCTAACTCTTCTACACCTTGTGGTCTAGACAACATCGATGTTGTCTAGACCACACATGAATGTTGTCTAGACCACATTTGAATGTTGTCTAGATTGTTGTTTAACATTCAAATGTTGTCTAGACAACATTCAAATGTTGTCAAATAACAAGAACGCATTCTTGTTATTCTATAACTCTATAATTATTCTAATTATTTCCAATTTTAAAAACTCTGGAGATTACTCTGACGCCTCTATGATCCAATCAGTTTTATACTATAACTTTAATAACTTGTGCTATCACCCAATCAGTTCATTTGTTGCAAAGAGTACATTTTACAGATAAACCTTGTTTATCGTGTTTGTCAAGGTTCGTGTTTCGGAGTTATAGAGTTGAGAGATGGGTTGTAACCACAATGAAAGTAGCCTCCTTGACTAAAAAGGCTTTTTCAGATCTGGGGTGGGGTGGGGGTGGATTAACAGTAATGAAAAATATATATTATTCTATATTGCATATAAATGGTGTTCCTGCTGTACATTTTACAGAAAATCTTGTTTATCGTGCCTTGTTTGTCAAGGTTCGGGTTTCGGAGTTATAGAGCTGAGAGATGGGTTGTAACCACAATGAAAGTAGCCTCCTTGACTGAAAAGGCTTTTTCAGATCTGGGGTGGGGTGGGGGTGGATTAACAGTAATGAAAAATATATATTATTCTATATTGCATATAAATGGTGTTCCTGCTGTTGCTTTCTGTGTATTATCATTTCCATGTTAGAAGCACAAATTTGGGTTTATTAATAGAAAATAGTTTGTCAAGTATTATCTATGTTTGAGTAAAGCTCAAACTAATGTTTTAAAAATACTTGAAAAATATTGTCAGCACCCTTTCCTATCTACTCTCAAATTATCCTAATTCATATAAATTTGAAGTATTTTAAATATTTTTCGAATTTTTTAACTAAACTAAAATAAAAAGATAAATATGTTATAACAAATAAAAAGATAAACACATAAAACCTTATAACAAATAAATAACTTATAACAAATAAATAACTTATAACAAATAAATAAAACACATTTTAACAAACAGAATACTTTATAAGCACATAAAACGTTGAAACAAGTAAAAAAATAAAACAAACATTAGTAAGTTTAAAATAATTGTTTTTAAAGTTTTAAAGCAATTAATGAAATGTAATTTTATGAATTTTTAAAGTTACAGTTTAAAAACTTAATTAACATATTTTCATCAATTATTTTGTTAGAGTTAAAATTGATCAGCATATTACTGTCATTTACTTATATTATGTTTTTCATTATAAATTCTCCATAATAGATTTTCGTTACTTTCAATATGAATTTTAGTTAAGTTGTTGTTGTTTTATTTTGACAAAACTTTGAAAAAAAAATTTAAAAATAAAGTGAATTAGATAAATTTTTTATGTGAAGTCCTTTAGGTAAAAGAAGGTTTTAAAATGAATTTTTTTAATATATTCTAAAAAGGGACACTTCTCAAAGGCATCATTCTCAAAATTACTTAAAAATTCTCAAAAATTGTTTTTTGATGGTCTTGAAATGATTAGAATAAATGGTTTAGTGTTTTCAGAAAGAGCAGTTAATATTGTTATTGAAAAGTTAAATGATATCATTTAACTTTTTAAGATATCATTGATTAAATTGGCTTCAATTTGATCAATGTATCTTTGGGTGTGTTACTAATGGTGCATTAGTCATGAAAAAAATGGGACGAAAAATGGGAGTTATCCACTAACTTTGCTATTGCCATTGACTTCATCTTTGTAGTATGTGATATTCTTTATAAGTAAAAAGGTTCAGCAACATAAACCACTGGAGAAGAAGTAATCATGGAAGAGCTAAATAAAAATGAAGAATTTTGTTCCGACCCTGATGATGAAAATGAAAATGAAGAATGCTGGAATAAGAAATCAGCTTTGTTGATAAGGAAATGCAATTTAATGAGGACTATGGTGTTATTATATCAAATGTTTGTAAAATTGTCAAGCTGTTTAAAAATCACCACTTAAAAATGATACCTTTCAAAACATTTGTAGATCAGATTTAGGAAAAGATGAAATTCTCTAATCAGTATGTTAAAACAGTTATTTAAATTAAAAAATTTTTTAGAAAATCTCTTAAAAATATATTCAGAATAGATTTGATTTTATAAAAAGAAGAAATAAAACACATTTCTGATACTGTTCATGCTCTTCATGTTGTAGAGTTAAGTGTTATGGCATTGGGAAAAGGAGATTGTGATCTAATAAAATATGATAAAATTATTTTGTTTTTACTTCAAAATTTTAAAGAAAAAAATACTAACATTGGTCAAAAACTATTAAATGTAGTCTCTGAGAGAAATACTGAAAGAAGTAATTATGTTATTGCTGGTTTACATAATTACATAATTACATAATTATGCTTTTTGCATAATCCAGATGACTTTAAATCTGATTCAGAGTTACCAGGTCTTTCAAGATGCCTAAATAAAAATGAAATTGCTAAATTAGCTTGAGATGTTTTCATACGTTCGTTTCTACATGAAGAAGTAGAAGCAGCACCTAAGTCTAATATTAAATCTACTTGTGATGTAGAACCAATAAGAAAAAAAACTAAAGCTGAAGAATTATCAGAAATGATATCAAATACAACTTCAACAACAGTAAGAAATAAAAGACTAACTTGTGAGTCAAAAGATTTTGACTTGTATTGAACAAGAAATGGCAGTACTTGAAAGCACTGGAAAAAGCTAAACTCTTTAGAAAAAGATTACAATTCCATGCTTAGCCTTCCACCATATTCTGTAGAAGCAAAAAGAAGTTTTAGTTTCTAAGTTAAGAAACGACTTCATAACTTGAATCTGATGAAAAAAGAGAAAATCATAAGAAGTTGTATTTACTTTTTTTAAACTTTTTTAGATTTGTAAAAATTAATCAAAATTAATCAATTATTAAATTAATTTTACGAAAGTTAATTGTTAATCAATTAATTTGAAATACCAAATGATCTACCACCCCTATCTAAAACTTAAATAAAACCTATAGTTGCTTATCAATGTCATTGCAGGTTTAAAGCAATTAAAAAAAACTTTAAAAAAACTACTAACAAAAAAAAAAGGAGAAAAACATTAACTTACTTTGCTTATTGTCTCCTCTCGATGGTTGGGCTCATTTATCAATTTTTGTGTGTTCATATTATGCATAGCGGTAAGTTTTCTTCTCAGTTCTAATAATGGACGAGGACTTGATGAACCTGCTGCTGATATTGGAATCTGCTCATCTTTATCAGATTGTGCATTTTCCTAAAAATATTACTGCAGAAATACTACTGCAGAAAGTAAAAATACTAAAATTCCATATATATGTGAAATTAAAAATATTAAAAATATTACTGCAGAAATAAAAATACTACTACTGCAAAAAGTAAATAAAATTTAAAATGAAATGTTGCGAATTTGGCTGACCAAAACATCAAGAAATTTATGACAGATAACAAAGTTACTTATATGACAACTCTCAAATATAAATCCAAATGAAAGTCTTACAAAAGAGAAAATAATAAATAAATGTAATTAAAAAATGAAGAAACTGAAAAAGCACGATTGCATAACATAAAATCACAACTTTCATTAATTTTTTATTTCATCTAAGTTTCCTTCGTGACCTAGATATCCAGAAAATTTGAAACCTTAGTATGTTCATTTCAAATTGAGTGCAGACATAAAATATTAGAGAAGAGAAAAAAGAAAACAATTTATTTTATGTTTCTGACTTCTGACTGCATGTTACTTCTCTTGCACAAAACAGTAACATGCATTATATATATATATATATATATATATATATATATATATATATATATATATATATATATATATATACATACATATTGAAATTGATACATATGTAAATATACATATATATGTGTACATATATAAATAGGTATACATATGTAAATACGTATACATATATATATATATATATATATATATATATATATATATATATATATATATATATATATATATATATATATATATATATACATATACATGTACATAAACAAATACATGTTCATATACACATGTACATGTACATATATACATATATATGTTAATATATATATATATATATATATATATATATACAAATATATATATATATAAATATATACATATATATATATGTATATATATATTTACATACATATATATATATATATATATATATAAAATAAATATATACATATATATATATGTATATATATATATAAATATATATATATATATGTAAACACACATAGACATATATATATATATATATATATATATATATATATATATATATATATATATATATATATATATATATATATATATATATATATATATATATATATATATATATATATATATTTCCCACCTTCCCATCTTCAAACCCATTACATAAACTATTCAATCAAAACACTATAAAAGTTAGCTACAGCTGCACAAACAACATTTCAAAAATTATAAAAAGCCACAACAAAAAATAAATTTAATTAACACCACTGCAAATCTGCCCACTGAATAAAAATTGTAGAGCGACAAACATCATTTACAAATGTATAACATCTTTCCCAAACACACCCAGTAAAGCATACATTGGTTTATCAGAAGGAGTGTGGAAAAAGAGGTATGCAAACCACAAGCAATCATTTTCAAATAAGAAACTTTCAAGTGCAACCATTTTCTCAAAATATATATGGGAAACTAGAGAAAAACTGAAAGAAACACCAGAATTAACTTGGTCTCTCCTAAAAAAATACAACAATACAACAAAAAAATGTTTACTATGTTTATATGAAAAACTGATTATTTTGCTTTATAAAAATGCTGAAGAGCTACTCAATAAAAAAAGTTGATTTCCAAGTGTCGTCACTAAAATAAATTTCTATTGAGCAACCACAAACTTGAAGATTAGATACATGCGGTCGTAACAATAAAAAAAGTTTTTTCCGTATAGGTTTTTCACACACTCACACACAATTTAAAATTGTTTTTAAAAACCCTGTTTGGTGTAACATTTAAATAAAAAAAATTAGTTAGAAAAGAAGTTTACACATGTTATTGAGAAGCTTAAATTTTCATGTATAATGGCAAAGAGGCAGTAAATATGATACTTATATTGACTTGTAACATAATAGGTTACAACAAAAAAAATAATTGAAAAAAATAAAGTTACTACAAGAAAATCATTGAATAAAAGTTACAACAATAAAATTATTGAAAGAAAGTTGTAACAAGAAAATTATTTTAGGACATTTTAACTTAAAATGAGAACAAGACTAGAAATTTGAAACAAATAAAAATAACTAAACCAAAAAATATAATAAATAAAAATATATATATATATATTCAAACCTAGAGGGAAAAAAAAGCACACCTGATATTGTTGAACTTGTAACATATGCTGACAAACCGAAAGAAGGGCACCACTTGGATGTGTTGTTTTCGATAACAACGCATAGTTATTCATTTCAGCAAGAGCTTGAAACATCTCATTTAAATCACCAAACATAACTAAACCTAAAATATTTAAAAATTAAAACTAAAATCTAAAGAAACCTTTTTAACAAATAAATAAAAAAAATATTTATTTTTAACCTTCTTTTGCATTAGCTCTTATTACATCAGCCTGGTTGGGATGGTAACGTGTAGCTCTATAAGACAATCCTGGAGTTATTGATGCACGAAAAACAGGAGGACGTATAAGTGGTGAGCTACTAGGCAATTTTTTTGACACAAACTCTTCCTGAACGCTCTTTCTTTCTATAATATAAGTTTAACAACAAACTTTTTTAACCTTATCATCACTATCTTCCTTCACCTCTTCCTTCTCTATCATCATCATCATCATTATTATTATTATTATTATTATTATTATTATTATTATTATTATTATTATTATTATTATTATTATTATTATTATTATTATTATTATTATTATTATTGTTATTATTATTACTATTATTATTATTATTACTATTATTATTACTATTATTATCCTCACCATCATCATCATCATCATCATCATTTCTATTATTATCATCATCTCTATTATTATTATTATCATCATCATCTCTATTTTTATTATCATCATCATCATCATTTCTGTTATTATTATCATCATCATCATCATCTCTATCATTATCATCATCATCATCATCATCATCATCATTTCTATTATTATCATCATCATCATCTCTATTATTATTATTATCATGATCATCTCTATTTTTATTATCATCATCATCATTTCTGTTATTATTATCATCATCATCATCATCATCATCTCTATCATTATTATCATCATCATCATCATCATCATCATCATCATCATCATCATCATCATCATCATCATCATCATCATCATCATCATCATTATTATTATCATCTCTATAACAAAGCTTTAAATTATACCTTTCAATTTATCTCTGACAGATTGCTGAGTCCAATAAGGTTTAGGAATAGGCATCATTGCACGATATACTGATGGAAAATGTGATTTGAATAACTTTAAAAGTAATCTAGATGAATAGTTTTGGGGAAGGTTAGAAACTTTTAAAGTGTTAAACCATTGTTGTGAATAAGGCTTTTTTGATGAACTATGAACTAAACAATGGACAGGTGTTAATCCAGAGGAGGATGGCATTAATATAGCTTTTTCTAGCAGTGTATTATCTAAAATATAATTTATTGCTTTTAATTAGACAAATCAATTGTGACATCTTGCACTTGTGTCATCCTTTCAGCCTTAGGGAGGGGTATAACATTAAAAAAAAAAAAAAAAAAAAAAAAAAAAAAAAAAAAAAAAAATTTATAAGATTTTTTTGTTACCTTAAAAAGCCTAAAAATTAAAATAAATTCAAACTTTTACATTACTTATTTTTATTGATACCAAATAATTAGTCACAAGATAAAATAGTCACGCCACAACAAATCAACAAGTTGAAATTTCCTTTGCCAAAAAGAAATATTGTTATTACGAACACAATTTTTCTTGGCATTTAGGGGTCCTTTTAATAATAAATAACTGTTATTAATAATGAATATTTACTGATTATTTTAACAAAATAATTTTACAATTCGCTAATACTAAGGCTCTTTCACCATTATCAACTACAAAAGCTTTTGTCATTTGTACCTTCTATTATATTTGATTATCAAACCTATGTTTTCTTTATTATTATTATTTTGTATTCTGTGGTATATGAAATTGTTAAAGGTATTTTGGATACCTTTATTTTATCTTTAATAAAGACTGTATTACATTAAAACAAAGAGTTTTAAATAAAGAAAAAACTTTTATCTTAATTTTATAACTTTTTTACTTCATCAGAACAAAAAACGATCAGAATTTTTTTATCTTAATACACAGTAATCTATCCAGGTGTAATTTCAAAATATTTCTACATCTTTAACTTAAAACATCTTTAACTCAATTTTGTTTTAGAAGGTTTTTTTACATTTTTTTTCAAAACTTTCAGGTGAAAAAAACTTTGCAGTACTAGATTTCAGTGTTTCTAGTATTACAGTGGGATTAACTTAAAGGGGCCCCCTCTGCCTCCACCATCTCCATTGCAAAATGTTGTCAAAGGTCAACTGAAAAATTGATTTTACAAAACTGTATGAACTAGATAAATATTTAACATAAAGCATTTTTTATGCTAAAAAAATATTTTTTAATTTGTATAATTTTGATAAGAAAAAGAAGCAAATATATTTCTCACATAATTCGGTATAATTTTTATAATTTGGTAAAATTAATAAAATTTTGCACAACTCCTTAGAATTATACTGAACTAAATAGAACAATCTAATACAAGTAGAAGACTACTCAGCTTAGATAGGACTTCTCAGCGTTGGGAGGTGAATAAGATAAAAGATACAAAAGAGAAATTTTCTTAATCAGTGAAAATATTTGAATAAAAATTATGATAATGTATTTCCAAATAATAATTCAAATATTAGTAATTTACTATTATTTACAGTAAATCTGCTTTGATAACTGATATTGTTGGATATAATAGTTCATAATAATTTAGTTAATAATAATAGTTAATAATTAATTTAATTAACAATATAATAGTTAAAAATTAATGTTGATTATAATAGTTTATAAGATTATAAAATATCTTTAAAAAAAAAAAAAAAAAACCCTGATTGCCCTGGTTTTATTGTTTTATTTAGGCAGGTTTTATTGGGCACAATAAAACCTATCATTCATTATTATTAAAAAATCAGCAGTAGAACAAGAATATCAAAATCCATATTGATGATCAGTAAGTTATTAGATTCAAGATAAGAGATTGTTAATTAAATACCTTGCTTATGATAGTAAGAAGACTAATGGGATGGTAGTTAAACAATTCAGATTACTCTCCAGAACTTTTGAAAATAGGGATAACAGATGCCGTTTTCCAGCAGGCAGGAAAACAATACTCTGATATACATTTGTTAATTAGTTTTTAAATTTAAGATGACAGAAAACAAGGCTATAACAGGTAGGTTGTCCTGACCACAAACTTTAGAAGAGTCTAAGCAGGAAGTCATTTAAGATATATAAGCTGGAGTGATACAAATGTCATGCAATGGATTTACCAGTTTGTCTGCTATATCAGGTAGAAAGGGACTAGTTGAATCAAGAGATGACATTGATAAGAAGTTCTTAGCTTTCACCAGATAGCTTCCAACAGAAGCTTACCTATCTGTATGCTTTCTGAAGCACTAAAAAGCAGAAACAAAAAAACCTCATGGTTCTTTATACTTTCTGTTTCGAGATAGAAACAAAACTTTAATTTAATGAGGTTTCTATGAAAATTGGAGTAATTAGCTTATTGCAAAACAAAAAAGAAAAAAGAATTGTTTTTTTTCTAAGAAGTTAAACTTGTATAAATATTTTTTTTTTTAGACTCATAACTTGTATGAACTTTAATTTATTTTTTTCTTTGATATTATGATCCAAAACTTTATATTTTTAAATATGGAATGACAAAATAATTTAAGTTGACCCATTAAAACCATTTTACACAGTCATAACTTTAGAATTTTAAAAGGTTATTAGTTGAAATCTCTATGATTTTTAAATTTAGTGTTAAGTAATAAAATAATTTATTTCATTAATTTCCCTCACATTTAGAGTAAGGTGTCAACTATTTGAGAGAATTTAGTTCCCAGACTACAATCACCTTATTTTTTTTGCAAAACATTATCATTTGATATAATTATAAACATACTTAAGTTAACACAATGTTAAGTTTGCATAATGCCTGAAATAATCAAATCTGCATTACCAAAAAATCCAAAATGTGCCACTGTATAGCGCGTTGATCAGAAAGGTTAAGACACATTCAATGTCCGAAACAGATTCCCTGACCTCAAACACATGATTAGATGTATAATATGACTCTAAGTCAATGTTTTCTATTTTTGTTAACTTTTGGTATATTATCGTCCATGGTGTAATCTAAACTGTAACTCATGGTTTAGATTACACCATGTAATCTAAACCGTGGGCCGCAATTTAGATTACTATATAGCAAGCTCTCTTAAAAAACTTACTAAATCTGTTTGAAATGTGGTTTTATCTCTACCTAAGATGCGATTAATTCTCTACCTGGGATGTGGTTCAATCTCTATCTTGGATGTAGATTATTGTCTACAACTTTCACTTTCCAATCATTAGCATTGAAAGAAAGTGGTAAGGAGAGTGAACCACATATGAGATAAAACCACTATTACTAGTTAAAAAAATATAACATAAACATAAAACATATAACAAAAAATGAACAAAAACTTAAAACATATAACTAAAAAATTATTTGACTTTACATTTTTTTATTAATTTTTATTCTTTCTAATTTGTCAAACTAATACTCTTTTTATTTGTCAAATTTCTTCAAATTAAATAAACTTAAAATAATTTTAAAGAACAACCTTGACCAAATGTCTTTTTTTTATTATTTTTTTTGACAGCTTCTAGTATCATGTAGGCTCCATGTAAATTATGTGAAACTATTGCTCTCAAGAATGGAGTACAACCATGAGTATCACGCTGACATAACTAAATTAAAGTTTTAAAATTATAAAATTTTAATAAATTTTTATAACTAAAATAAAATTTATAATTCAAATTTAAGTTATAAAAACAAATATTATTAATAAAAGATTAGATTTATTTAGTGGTTTTTTTAAAAACAAGGTTTTTAAAAATAAAAACCAATAATTTTTTTTTACCAGGCAGGAAAACAAACACTTTTATTTATTTTTTTTGTTGTTGTTTAACTCATTCACTCCTAACAAGATTATTAGGTTGGATGCTAATATATAACAAAGAATAGTGTAAAAGAACAAGGAAACAGTTGACAGATGATTTAAAAAATTGAAGGTAATATAAGACAGGAAAACATGAAGATGGAAGAGAAAGCATTGAAGTGCAGAAAAACCTCTTTTCAACTTTTTTTAAAAAGTAATAAAACAAATGATTTTTAAATTAAGTTTTTCATATTTTTTAATAGGGGTACTAAAAAGAAAAAAAAACCTACTACACAAGAATAAAAAAATCATGAGTAAAGCAAGAATCAACTTGAAACCAAAGACCAGGAATAAAAACTTTCTTGTTGGTCTTAATAATAAAGAATCAACCTTAAAAATTGAAGAAATTGAAAATATGGTCAGAACAATCTAAGAAAAATAAGAAGAAACTGAGTAAAAACTAGCGTTGAGTTTCTTACTGAGTGGAGGTTTTTTGCGAAGCCAAAATTGCTTTGGGATGATGATGAAATTGATTTGGAATCTTCTGTTGGTGGAATGAGAGTCAGACAAGTTCAGATTATCTAATGTTAATAATTGTAGTGATGAAATCGAACAAGGTGTATTATCTTCTGAGAGACAGTGACTCTGTTTCATTATCATAAGATAATAAAACTGAGAGCACTATTGAAAAAAAAATTTTCCCAATATATATAATATATATATATATATATATATATATATATATATATATATATATATATATATATATATATATATATATATATATATATTATATATATATATATATATATATATATATATATATATATATATATTATATATATATATAATAGTTTGAACTTATAAGTTAATAGTTTGACAACAAAATTTAGCCTGACAACAAAAGAAAGAAAGCGAAAGCAAAGCTAATAAACAATACAGATAACAAACAAAAAATTTCAAAAGGAAGTACATTATATAATGATCCTGATAATTAAAAGACAATTGTACTGGATTTCAATCCATATCATGAGCCTGGAACTTCTTAAGGCCGACGCTTAGTACAAAATAATATGACAAAAGCAATTGATTATTTTTTATTGTTTTTCACAGATGAAATTATCAATGATGTGTGTTGGAACATTAATACTTATGCTTGGCAGAATATTCATTTTGAGATAACATATGCGGACAATAATGGGGCATGGCAAGAAACTAATGTAATTAAAATGAGGAAATTTATATCCTGTTTGATATATCAAGAACTAGTTAATGATGTCATCATGAAATTAATCAAGCCCTGTTCAATCAAGGATATCATGTATATTTAGATAATTTTTATACATCAGTTGACCTAATAAAGACTTTATACAAAAAAAAAATCTTGTGGTACAGTAACAGAAAAACTTAAAGGATTTCCAGAGAGTTTGAAAAATGGTAAAATGTGGGCTAAAAACAAAAACCAGAGAGACAATGAAATTTTGACATTGCGATAGGTAGACAATAGGGTTGTAACTATTCTGTCATCTATTAATTATGTCAAGGTAAAGCGTACAAATATAGTTGGTTACAATTAGAATCACATCTTTATCAAAAAACCATTTGTAGTTCACCCCTACAATTGTTTTATGAATGGTGTTGACTGATACAATCAAATTTTGGCTGAGTATAATCTATTAAAATTGTGTCAGATGGTGGAAAACATTATTTTACAGTTGAAAATAGTTTTATTTTATTCAAACACACAGAGAATCAAAGGAAAGATAACATGAAAAAAAAATACTACAGCTTTTTAGACCTCCAAGAGGAGGTCTAAAACCTAACAACATTCAAGATTTAATTGGGCTTGAAGAATTTGCTAATCCTTCACAGTACAAGCCATATTAACCTATGAAATACCATTCTGAGCATCTAACAAAGTTTGAAAGTAAGACAAAACTGTAAAGTTTGCTACACTCAACTCATGCAAGGCCATAACAAATAATGTTTTTAAGAAAAATATTTTGGTGCTCTGATTGCCCATATATTAGATTTAATTTCTTTAATATATATTTTTTACATGAGAATTCATAAACTTAAACATAAACTAGATCAACTTTTGTATAAAAATATTTCTAAATATCTTTTTTCATCATTATGAATTTTAACACCATTAAATGGTTTTAAATAGGTTTGTTTAAAATTTTATAAATTTTACAATGATTTTATTATTATTTTTTTAGGATTTATTATTATTTTTAGGATTTTTATTTTTAAAGATTTTTATTTTTAAAGATTTTATTTTTAAAGATATGTTTTTAACTCCTTAAATAGTTGCTAAAGTAACACAAGTTAATGGTGAATGAGTGGTGAATGAGTGGAGATTAAGTTTCATTTTTATGCCAATTTTTATTTGATATCAAAAATAAAATGTGAAAATTATTATTACTTTAAACTATTTTTATTTATAACCTAAAAATTTCATATAAAAAAAAAGAATTAGCTGTAAAAGATGGAATAATTAGTTACCAGATCTTTTACTTTGTCCCAAAATTCCATGTTTTCTAAAATTTTTTGAAGCACAAAGTTTTCTTCTTCACTCCTAACATCCATTATATTACCAGGAACTGATGCTGCAATAAAATAAGAATTTTATTTTTTTATCTACAATAAAATTTAATAACTTAATGTGAAATTAAAGTGACATTTTGTGGAGAACTAGTTAATATATATATATATATATATACATATATATATATATATATATATATATATATATATATATATATATATATATTACATATACATATATATATATATATATATATATATATATATATATATATATATATATATATATATATATATATATATATATATATATATATATATATATATATATATATATATGTATATATATATATATACCCTTATAGTGTAGTCGAAAGAGCGTTTTAATGTAAAAAAAGTCTCTTACGACTACAATTTTAATTACCTCGTCTCTTAAGCTGTTTTTGATTGTCATCGAAATGTCAAAGCAATTAATTTATGCGGAAGTACATTAAATTTAATTGTTTTTTAAAAATTTTTTAAAAAACCGCAATTATAACGACTAGAAAGTTTTTTTTTAATTAGTGGTGTTTTTGTTATTGATTTAATAAAAAACATTTTTAAAACATGCGTAAATGTTGCTACATCGACTATCTTATAGCCTGACTTGCAACGGAGTGCTGCTACATCGACTGACAAATAGCCTGACTCGCAACGGAGTGCTGCTACATCGACTGACAAATAGCCTGACTCGCAAGGGAATGCTGCTACATCGACTGACAAATAGCCTGACTCGCAAGGGAGTGCTGCTACAACGACTGACAAATAGCCTGACTCGCAAGAGAGTGCTGCTACATCGACTGAGGGTTTGGTTTGGCCAGGCAGTCTATCAATTAAAAAAAAAAATTTAATTTTTAAATTTTTAAAACTTTTTCTGGTCTGGTTTATTAACGCGCTCTTTAAAACTACAGTTTATGGGAAATTTTTTTTGATGCCACGCAAGAGACATGCAAGAGTATATATATATATATATATATATATATATATATATATATATATATATATATATATATATATATATAAACATGTAGTAAAAGGCTTAGATATACATTTTGTGGTAAAGAACAGCTCTTCAATTGTCTGTGGTTTTTAAACTGACAAAATTAAGGTTCGATTATAACAAAACACATTAATTTAATTGCAGGAACTAATTTAACTAAAAGACTGCAATGTTTTTAAAAACATTCTGAATGAATGTTCTATTTTATTTTTTTTAAATAAAAACATTCTGAATGTTTTTATTATTATTTTTTGCTGTAAATCATGCGCGGAGTGATGCTACATCGACTATCTTATAGCCTGCTGCTACAAGAGTGTGCTGCTACATCAACTATCTTATAACCTGACTTGCAACAGAGTCTCGCTACATTGACTAAGGGTTTGGTTTGGGCAGGCATAAAAAAATAAAAATAAAATTTTTAATTTTTAAATTTTTTCTGGTCTTTAATATAATTTTTTTTATAAAAACCTAAATATATATATATATATATATATATATATATATATATATATATATATATATATATATATATATATATATATATATATATATATATATATATATATATATATTTAAAAAGAAGAAAACAAAGAATAATAATGTATATATATATATTATATATATATATATATATATATATATATATATATATATATACAATAATGTATATTTATATATATATATAAATATACAATAATGTATATATATATATATATATATATATACAATAATGTATATTTATATATATATATGAATATATATATACATGTATAAATATATATATATATATGTATATATATACATATATATATATATATATATATATATATATATATATATATATATATATATATATATACAATAATGTATATTTATATATATATATGAATATATATATACATGTATAAATATATATATATATATGTATATATATACATATATATATATATATATATATATATATATATATTTATATATATATATATATATATATATATATACATATATGTATATATATACATATATATATACATATATATGAATATATATATATATATATATATATATATATATTTATATATATATGAATATATATAAATATATATATATATCTTATACTGCTGAGTTAGGTGAGCATGATGATGTCATACTGAAACAGCCTGCTGCCGGGGGCTTCAGAATATACACACTTACTAAAGCGTATTTTTATAAGCATTTACTCAATTTTTTTGTTTACCTTAACCCATACACTTTTTTAGAAAAAGAAGAAAAAAACGGAGAATGATAAATGAAACGATTGCTGCCCCATCCCAAACCCTCAGTCAATGTAGCAGCACTCCACTGTGATTCAGGCTATTTGTCAGTCGATGTATGTACTGAAGCCCCCAGCAGCAGGCTATTTCAGTATGACGTCAGAATGCTTACCTTAGTACATAATACTATTTGTATACATAAAGGCTTTCACAGAAAGATGTGCGATTTCATGTCTTTATATGACCACGCAAAAAAAAAATGTTTTAACGATTTGACCACAACATATTTTTAAAATTTAAAAACGCGCTATAAAAACTTACCTAAACTTATCTGAAAAAAAAATTTAAAAAAATAATAAATATCAACAAAAAAGAAAATGAAAAAAATACTTAGTTAAAGCCAAAATACAAAAAAATAAATATATATATATAACGCAACTAAAACAAAACTCATTAAACTAAAATGCTTAGTCAATTTCATTCACGTATTAAAAAACTTTTTCAATCTTTGTTTCAACATTTTTATATATTTTTTATTTGTTTAATATGTTCAAAAGTTTATATTTCTCATAAAAAATACATAGTTATATAAATAAAATAAAAAAACATTTTATAAATACTTTTTTTTAAATTAATTAGAAGTGTTTTTTTTTTACTTCATTAAAACCTTTAAGATCAAACTTAATAAATTGTAACGGTTTTCTAAAACTTTTTTTTTTAACGAAATTTTGTTTATCTTTTTAAATGCATTAACTTTATTCATTTAAATTCATTAAATATTTAACATAATTTTAATATAAAACATTAAATATAAAATTTAAATTTGTTAAAGAGACTTTCGTAGTAATAGAATGTCATCGTTTATAAAAACAAAACAATTTTTTATTTTTTAATAGGATTTATTTTAGAAATTAACACTTGAACAATTTATTATTTGTTTTAAATTAAAAATATATATACAACTGTCAATTATATTTAAAAAACAAAACTTTTTTTCAGTAAACTGTTACTTTATTTAAAATTGTTTCGCTAATATAAAAATATTTGTTAAGAAGTTTTGATGTAATTAATTTCTCTTTTTTAGAACATTTTTTATTTAGCGCGTTTCTAAAATGTTTTTTGAATTAGCCGCGGTCAAATCATCATAGCAAAATGTAACTTGCGTGGTCATATAAAGACGGGAAATCACACATCTTCCTGTGAAAGCCTGACATAAACGCTCGCTTCATAAACGAGTGGTTCCAAGTTCGATCCCCACCACGTCCCTGGTAGTACCGCGCTCAACTCGTTTCTCCGCGCAGCGGCCTTGTTCGTCAAGGTTCGTGTTTCGGAGTTATAGAGTTGAGAGAGGGTTATAACCACAAATAAGTAGCCTCCTCGTCTGTAGTGGCCTTCTCGGCCTTGAGGAGGTGAATTAAAATAAAATAAATAAATATATATATATATATATATATATACATATATATATATATATATATATATATATATATATATATATATATACATATATATATATATATATATATATATATATATATAGTATATATATATATATATATATATATATATATATATATGTATATATATATATATGTATATATATATATATATGTATATATATATATATATTTATATATTTATATATATATATGATATATATATATATATATATATATATATATATATATATATATATATATATATATATATATATATATATATATATATATATATATATATATATATATATATATATATATATATATATATATATATATATATATATATATATATATATGAATGGGGACTGGGACAGGTTTGATAAAATGCTATATTTTATCAAACCTGTCGCAGTCCCGGTTTTTGACCGGGGCTGCATAAACATTTATACATCCTTAAGTATATTTTTATATTCGAAATTCATGTTATATTTTGTATATATATGCATATATAAACATCATTATGATCAACATGATTTTCATAATAATCATTACCATCATCATAATCATCATCTTTTGGCAAATAAACTAAACCAAACACTGAGGTTTATATAAATATGAAAGGATATTGTAAGCCAGCATCTAAATAAATAGCAAACATATATGTTTATGTCCACAATATGTATGCATAAAGCGCATCTCATAAACTTTTATTTCTTCTGGACTAAAAGTTTGGAAGCTTTTATTCCTACTCTTCAATTTTAAGTCAAACCTCATTATATTCCATACTTTTCACTAAATTATTGCTTTATTAATCATTTATTTCATCTTTTTTACCAGAACCTCTCTCTCAGGAACAAATGTCCTTTTATTATTTCAAGAAGCCAATGTAAAATGGTCTTGTCTGATGTTAAGCTGTTATTCTCAGTTTACTAAATCTTTTGTCCTATATTATACCTTGAGCTACTCTCCCATTGTTGTAAAGTTGCATTTCTTTTTTTTTTCTACAAATACAATCATGGTTAATGCTTAAACAAGCTATTATCTCTATAACGATAAACCAAAACTCATTCTTCCTTGTTTCTTATTCAAAAAGTTGCTTTTACTGTATCTGTCCTTTTATGCTATAAAAACTTTTATTTATCTAGTATTTTTCCTTACACATCAAAAAAACCTTATAACTATTAGCCATCTTCATGTTTTTTCTTTTATATACAACCTACAACTTTTCAGTCTTCAGTTAACCATTTCCTAGTATTTTTACTTATTCTTTATTTTAAAGTAAATCATAACTTAATAGTGGTTGCTTGCAATCTTGTTGGAAGTAAATT